GTCCTGCCCTGATTTGATGAATGTACCACTAATTAGTGATTCCGGAGTGGCCTAAATCTGGGCCGCTTCTCAGCTCTCCTGCTTCCTCTTCCCAAGCATGGTCTGTTACCATAACGAGAACAGACCCTAGGGGAAAGCCACCCTCTCTCGGACTGAGACCTTGTTCCTGGGCCCACCTTTCTGTCACCAAGGTAGAAGGAACTCACCTGGGGCATAGGTGAGACCTCAAGAAGGGCCTAAGGCAGTAAGAAAGAGATACAGGACCTCTTCAGAGCACTGTGCCCTGAAGAAGGATGGGGACTGGCTGGTTGCTGACCAGGGAGGCTATCTAAGCTCAGAAGGGCCTGGAGTCAATCCTGGTGGGAATGGGGCCTGCAGCCCTGGGAAGACTGAGGAGGATTCCTCAATGACCCTGGGGCTCACAAGTCCTTTCCAAACTGGGGCTGCAGGTGGTGTCCACAGTGAGTACAAGCAATCGTGTTCTCGCTAGGACTACCCCATAGGATGTGTGCAGTCACTGATGACCAAGGTTCCTGGACACCTGGCATGCTTGCCCCTGAGCTGCTGCTGCAGAAGCTGAACTGGATTAAGTAGTTTTCTGGACCTACACTGTGGAGGAGGGGGTCACAGGCTCTGGGCTGAAAGCAAGCCAGGGAACCTTGTCCTTGCTCAGACACCACCAAAGTACATATCCTTAACAAACCCCTTGGAGTCTCTGTTTCCTGTTTTGTAAAATGAGGGTTCTGAGAATTACTGATTGCTGATGCCATAAGGTTAACAGAGGATATCCATAAGGTCCATACTTACTGGGCAAGGCCATGCAGCCCATGACAGTGCTAGACATGACAATGCTGGACTTCTTAGTGCTATCTCTTTCCTTCAAGTGGGCGAAAGGGGGCACAGAGAGTCCCCAAGCCCTGTTTTCTTCTCTTCTGCCTGACAGAGACCCAGGAGCAAGAGTAACAGGGTGCCTTATCCCAAGGATTTTATGCTTTCATTTGACAGCCTCATCAATGGGGCAGAAGTTGCCATGACAACCCCTCTGTAGGGAAATCGAGGCACCTGCAAGATAGTCCAGCAGGGGTTGGAAAGATGGCTCAATGGTTAAGAGCATGGGCTGCTCTTCCAGAGGATCAGGGTTAGAGTCCTAGTGCCCATGTGAAGGCGTACAAACTAACTCCAGTTCTAGGGGGTCCAATGCCCTCTTCTGGCCTCCACAGTCAGTCAACAGGCACACATGTTGCACACATGTGGTGCAGATAGGCATGTGTGCACACGTGGGCAGGCACACACACACACACACACACACACGTGATATAAATGCATACAGGCAGACAAAACACTCATACACATAACATAAATAAACCTTAAAAAAAAAAGCTGGGCATTGGTGGCACACGTCTTTAATCCCAGCACTCTGGAGGCAGAGGCAGGCAGATCTCTATGAGTTTGAGGCCAGCCTGGTCTACAGCATTAGTTCCAGGAAAGGCTCCAAAGCAATACAGAGAAACCCTGTCTTGAAAAACAAAAACAAACAAACAAACAAAAAAGGTCAAGTAGCTACAAGGCAGCAAACTGGGTTTTGCTTCCTTTCCAACCTGCTTGGCAGCCTCAGTCCGAAGCACATCACCTACCTGGCACAAACAGCATGGGGCCTAGACCTAGTAGTCCTACCTCCCTGTACTCAGTTTCCTGACCTGACAGCCTTGATAGCTGGAAAACACAGCCACCCACCTCAAGGTGGAGAAATTAGAGGAATTCAGGGAATGCAGAGCAGAGGGCCTGGGCTGAGTTACTGAGTTCCCTCCTCAGGCCTCAGAAGGAAGGAATTTGGGTGGTACCCACTATAGGGGCAGGATGGGAGTGAAGAGGCGAGGGGGGCTC